CCCAGCTGAAGCCTGAACCGGAGGAACCTGCAGTGTCCGCTGAAGTAGTCTGAGGGCTGGCAACAGGTTGCAGTGAGGGAAATGTAAGGTAATCAAGAAAAAGATTGGGGGAGAAAAGGAAATGGAGTTGTGCTGTCATTCAGTGTGATGGGAGTGCTGCCACGACACAGCCTCAGGAAAAGGATGGGCTGCAAATTCCTAAGCGTTGGAGGTTTAGCACTGCTATCTGTCCCTTCTTCCTTCCCCACTCATCAAACCTAGAAAGTAGTTAAGGGTTAGTTAGTATTATCTAGGTGTGATTAGAGATGAGGAGCAATTAAAAAGATCACATTTCCTTAAAAGGAAGAAATGAGCAAAGCTGAAAAAAAGAAAAATGCAGGGCTGGAGTGTTATCCCATATCAGTGTAGTAAAGAACAAATACATAACCTTGCCTGAACCGAATTATCAGCCTTTCCTGACTTCCCTGGAAATTTAGATGTTGGGTGTCTTCCAGAACCCGGCTACGATCTCAGATGCTTTGCGTTTTGAGATTTAAATGCGAGGAAGTTAGCAAGTAATATTGGGATTTTCAAATTAAAGCCCAAGAAGCAGTCTGATTTAGAATAGCAGGACTTCATGGCTGTAATCCTTGGATTAAACGTTGGCTTTCTCTACACGTCCAGGCAGTGTGTTTCTCAGGGGGAAAAAACAATCTATCAAAACAGACTCGAAGCTGGGAGAGATGTGATGATAGCTGCACAGCCAGGATGGCTTTTCTACATGGTGGAAAGGGATTTAAAGTAAATCTCTTGGTGTTCAGATGAAACTGGACAATATCCTCATGTGTCTGAGCGACAGCTGTTAGGATTACAGCCACATAATTATCAGCCCCACCTGGCAAGTTCTCCCTGCTCCCCAGTGCAAGGATGATATAAACATAAGAGTTGAAGATAATGCAAGCCTTACTTGCTGTTTTCTAGGTTTTAGTGGAGTTACTGGGGGATCCACATTCAGGTGTTCAAGATAGAAAATTATTTGTCTTCAAATGAAAGACAGGGCTTTCTGGGGAATAAGTAGGACGTTCTTCACAAAAAATGCTGAATGGGACAAAACAGTGATGTATGGCAAGATGGCATTCCTGGGTCGCTTGGCTTAGGATACACATCTGGCCAAGAAAATGTATACTCTCACCTTGAGACATCAGTCAGGTGGTGATTCAGAAGCAGCATCTGTTGCTCTGTATTAACGTTATTTTTGGAGGCTGTGTTTAGGTTCAGACGTTATAGCTGCTCAAGCCCAGGCCATTCCTGCACAGACTTTACAACAGGTCGACTTTTCTCATTATAGTTTTGGTTGCCACTTGGTGGAAAGCCTTTTCCATGGCTCAGTGGTTGGATGAGGTTGTTAATATGTTCTGTGTTACAGGAGAGTGAATGCGTTTACTTAAACACAGAGCTGAAAATAACATCTTACAGAAGTCATCGTGGGTTTCTTTGTCAATGATTCTTTCTTGTTTTCAGCCTCTGTTTCTTTCTGTTTCTTTCTGTAAGGACTAGGCCACCAGGCCTGAGTGGAGAATAGGAAGTCGCTCCAGCTGTTTTCCTTGTGTTGGCACTCTGTGCTGAACAGGAATTGCTGAGCAAAGAACATCATTTCCCCAGAGAGGTTTGCTGGAGTAGCACAAAGCAGTCTGGATTTTTTTTTTTTTTAAATTAAAAGTTCCTGCCAAATGCTATCATCAAGGGTTGGGGGATGAGGGGGAGAAAGAAATATATGAAGTTCAGAGTCCACTTGGAAGAGCAAGAAACCTGCGTGGGACAGCAGAATGGCAATGTGTTCTCTGCTGAATTCTTGGGTTTTAACATATAGCCACTTAGCAGTAAGGAGGACTGTTTTCTTTCCTTCTTTTCTGTGAATCTTAGTTATAAATATTGCTCTTCCAACAAAGTTGGACGATTGTGCAACTTTGCACTTGGTTTTGGACTAACGAGTGGAACAAAAAACAAGCAGAATTCCTTCTCTGAAGTGGGCGCCAAATTATCAACTCACACATCTGCACACTGTGGTGATAAATGCACGTCTGGTCGTGCTTTGCAGTGAGCTTAAATTTTAAGGAAAACAAAAGAAAGATATTAAAGCAGTGGCTTTTTTTGCTTCCTTCTCACATTTCAGAAGAAAGGTTAAAAAAAAAAAAAAAAAAAAAAAAAGCCAAGACATAAAGAATAGTTGACAGGTATTTGGGGGAAGCAAGCGATGGAGGCATTTCATGCCTTGCTGGCCAGGTTTAATCCAGGATAAATCCATGAGAACTGAAGCTTGCTGCCACCTGATGCTGTCTGCTGCTGGATGGGAAGCACATCTGGTGGCTTATTCCAGTCCTCGGGGTGCTGGTGGCCACCTTACAAACTCCTTCCTTGTATTTGATGCTTTCTGATGTTCTCACTGACCGTGTTACTAAATTGCCTTGCATTTGATTAGTCCTCCCTAGGAAGGATTTTGTTGTGGATGCAAGACTGTGTGTTTGAGCTCATACTTTAAAGATCCTGCAAAATTCTTGTAGCATGGAAGGCAGCTGTGGCTATAGCAAGATTGACAAAATGCCTATAATATAGAGTGTATTGTGCTCCTTTGTGGACAGCTCTGCAGTAATTACTTATAGGAAAAGTTCTTTCACAGATCCTGTCAGTATTCTTCTTATAACCTGAAGTGAAAGAATATAATACCCCCTTGACATTTTTTCCCCAGTGTTTTCTAATGTAACTGCATCATCTATGATTGTCTATTTTTGTTTTCCAGTCCAGTTCCTGATCTTCCTGAACACAGTAACATATTGCACAGTTAATCTGCCATTTGTAATACTCCTTTGAAAAGAGTATTCTTCCATCCTGTTTATTGGTGTGTTTGCAGCTGATCTCTGGAGATCAGAGCAGTTGGATTCTGCTCGAACTTTTGTGCTGCTCTGCAACCTTAGCCAAGTTTGAAGGCCTTTCTTGTGTTTTTTAATCTCCTTATGGAGATCAAAGATGAAATGTATGGCTTCATATACCTAAAACACCCGTGTGCAGCATTCAGATGACTCTAAAATAGAAACTTTGAAAACACTTAAGATCCTCTTATATACCCATCACAAAGACATCAACTGCTTTTTTGTTTCTTGATTTATAGTTTTACTTGGAAGCAGACAGTGAGATTTCTCCAAGTGGAGCATTGAGTCGTTACGTGTCTTTTTACTGTCGTGCCGCCGTTCAATTCCTGCTTTTATATAAATAATCTTTTTCTAACATAATGCACCAGACTTGGATTCTCTTTAAAATTTTCCACTCTGCTGACATCTGAATGCGAGAGGATTTCCCCTTTGCAGAGTTTTGTTTATATTTTTATTTCACTTTTCGGGCTTCAGTAGAGGTAATCTGTAAGGGAGTTGGGGGAGCTTTCAAAACACGGGCTGCTTCCTGTCATTGTCTGGAGTCTTGAGCATTGTGGACTTCCACCTCCTTCCTGACTTTTGTTTCTGGCTCGATGGTGTTGTCTTTAAATAAGTTCAAATAAAAATAAATGTCATAGAGCTGGAAATAGAAACTAGTATCCTTAGATGCAGGTCTTTGCTGTCTGAGTACAATGCTCTAATAATAACAGGTCAACGTAGTCTTAGAGGGTACTGAAGTGTTTACAGCCTGAATTTAATCCTGTCACCTTTCCCTGCAAGCAAACCCACTAAAGTCACTAGCAGCACTTCTTCTAGGAAGTTATATATAAACTGTGGCAACAGCCAAGCAGCAAGATCTCAGCAGTAAGGGATTTCTCTGTAGCTGAGGATGCTACTTCTGGAATTTGATAGAATGTTTAAAAAGGTACAGATCTAAATTACAGCAGATTGTCCTTTGATAATCTACATCACAGTGTGGCATCAAATGGTGTGACTGTGTTGGATATGGCCCTCTGTAGACCCACAGTAAAAAAAACCAACATTGTAATAGTGCCTGAAGGTCACAGCTAGGGTTTGTATCATCTTTTCCTGGAACCTTTGCAAGTGGGTGGAAGACTGTCTCAAAGAACATGATGAAAATGAAAAGGCAGCACAAGGGTAGCACAAACAATAGGAAGGAGGTAGGGCAAAGTCTGAAGGCAAATGCCAGCAAGATTTGTAGATCACTGGTGATATGCATCAATTGCAGGTTTAAACTTTTTCTAACGAAGGAAATGTTGCTGATGTCCCACAGGTACCTCATGTCATTGTTTTGAAATGCAGATGCATTTTGGCATCAAAATAAAGGTGTGTCTTGAAGGTGATTTATCAGTTTGAAATGGTTACCGAGTGCATGTGGGTAACATGCAAAAGGAAAATCCTAGCCGTGCTAGGCACTGCTCTGTGAGAAGGAGCGTCAGCAGAGGTGAAAAGCTTCTAGAAGACTAAAATAAGGAGAGTCAGAGATCAGATTCTGAGGGATCTTAAAAGTGAATATTAAATAACTGTGGGAAAGCAAATCTTAACGCTACATTTCTATGATTTGAACAGATCGTAGAGGGCAGGAATATGAGGTTTGGAAAGCTCAGAGTTTGCAGTAAGTGGAAAACAAGTCGTAATTACATGAAGTGAAAGGTAGAAGCTGAGATGCTGTTAAAACAAGCTATTTTCAGAAGCATGTTTAGAACCCAGTTTCTTAATCTAGAAGTATCCTGAGCAGGGAGAGGAGGTTCTTAGCACTGCAGTTATGTGTGCAAGGCGATCAAGAGGGAGAAGCGGATGTGGTACGTGGGTACTGGCTTAGGCTACTACAGTATCTGTGCTCACTCCAGTATCAGAGGAAGCAGAAATGTAAGAGGGATGAGAGGGGGTGATGGGTATATGTCTGGGCCATTGGCTGTCAGAGGCTGGCACTGTATCTAACAAACATGACTGAGCATCTTCCTTATCTGTGTAATGATCTAATTCAATTGTTGTGTTTTACAACAGAGAGAAACAGAATCGACTCTGAAAGCAAATGCATTTTAAAACTGCTTTTCCACTGTTTTCAAACAGGCACGGATTTCCTCCTCCAGCTACCTGGTTCTTAACAGCTTTAGTAGAGGAAAGCAGAAGAGCAACACACCTGAGCAACACTTTGAGCTGAAGTGCCTACACAGACTGCAGAAGGCAAGTCGCTGCTGTGCATCTCTGACTGTGCTGTATTTTAGGAGACGGAATGGCTAAAAAAATAGAAATAAAAAACAAAGCAAAAGCCCCAAGCCCCAGCCTCCCCCAGCCTGGATTTTACTACACTGCACTATAAAGATACCTTTTCTGATTTAGAGGTTTCTGTGTTTAAGACTGTGGTAGCTAATAAATCCCTGACATCTGAACTGTTGGGAAGCAGCGTGCACAATGAAACAATATTGTGGTTGCAGAGTGATCATAATATATATTTCTAAGGTTAGTTGTTCCACGTGTGTATTTAAAGTTCTTTTGTTCTTTGCTTCTCCCTGCAAATCTAAACAGTGCTCAGATGAAAGCTGTGGAGTAGGAGGCTGACTTAATGGTGCCTACTTGGCTCTGTAGCAGGGCTATAAGAGGGTAATAAAATCCTTGTAGGATTTGATGAAATCAGATAGAATGAATGTAGCATTAAACAAAACAAAGGACCCATAGATAAGCTGAATTCTTGTTTCACTTCAATTATTTCCCTTTTAATCCAGTGAGAAGAAGAAAAAAGATGACAACTCTGCCTTTCTGTTGTTTGAGCACTGGGATAAAGGTAGGGTCAGTGCCCAAGCCAACTGGAAGATGAGATTCTTTCTCATGTTTTCACTCCAAGCTGAATTGAAGCCTATTTTCTGTTAGCTAGTGGGAATCCTTTGTTGGCTTGAATTAACAGCACTGCAATCAGAGAGCAGAGAACTGCACAGTGTCCATCTTGTATGAAAGCTTGCAAGAATTTGTTGTAGATCTGGCTGAGAAATCTGTCTGTGATGTCCAACAGCCTTCAGCATCCAGAAGAGCTCTCTTACATGACAGCGCAGCAAGCTTCTTAAAATGAGGTCTGTGAATTCCTAAGGATTTTGGAATACACCCCACCATACAAGAGGGCACATTAAAGCCGTAATAAGGGTCACTTAGAATAAAATGAGATAAACTACAATGGTAATGCAAACATTTTTTGACTAATTTGTTCTTGTTTTAATGACCTCCTTGTGTTTGCATGTAACTTGCAGAGATGCCAGGCTTTATTTTGGGGTTCACAATGCGCAATACTTTTTCAAGCTGATTTTCCTCATGTTTTAATCCTGAACTATAGAGTTAATTTTACTGGTTTGAATTAAGATGTCTAGCATATATAATGCCTTTCAAAACATCATTACTAAGATTTGCTATAGGAACAGCACTGAAATTGAACTCCTCGCTTACTCTTTCTGGAAACTATGTATGCACAAAGTGAATGAGTCAAAATTAAGACATGCCATCTGATTATAACTCAATGGGTGGGAGGGACAAAGTCCTTGTGCTTTGAACTAGTTAGATATAAATACAGAGCTAGCTGGCAAAGATCTGCTCAGAGGAATGGGAGGCCCCAGATAGTGGGAAGTACTCCCAGTATCCTAAATAATAGACATTTCAATATAATTATTAAGCCCAGTGTCCTCTTGGGAGAGATTAAAGGATAGCAGAGTGATGCAGACTTCTAAGGGAGGAAATATTTCTTTTCAGGGGGAAAAATGAGAGAAGACTCTAGAGTGAAAATTAAGGAGGTAGAAATCCTCATAGTCAACAGGGGTTTACACTGTTTAAGCATACTATTGCAGGGCCATAAAATTGCAGTATATCTGTGAGCAAAGCAAAGTGAAACAGAGCAGAAGGTGAACAGGAAGTTACATTTTGAGAGCTCGTTTAATCAAATAGTTCAATTTCTTGTTCTGGAAGCTGAAGCTTGCCAGAAATGAGCATGGAGGATGGCAAATAATTTAAGAGTGAGGAGGAGGACCGAGTACCAAGTAGCCAGTAATGAAAAATAACAAGTTTTTAAACGTATTGAAAGCTAGAAGCTTCTTATGGAGAGCAGTTACGGCAAACAAGAATTTGTTTTATGATGCTTTATAAGAGCTGTAGCAGAAAGCTCAGTATTTACAATACTGATGATGTTAAACAGAGAACTTTGTGTGTGTGTAGTCGTAAAACAAGCAGGAGAATCAATCCCCTGGAAAAGGAAGAAATCAGTGAGCTCCCCTCTACTCCTTTATGGACACACTTGCCTATTCCCCTTGGAAGCAATAATAAGATAAAGGAACACTTAGGTCCCATTATTTACAGAACATAAGCAACTTTGATTTTGTTAATACCCAAAGAAGGGTATATCCCAGGGCAGCTTTGGTTCAAGCACTGTGCAGTATATCAATTTTTCATCATTACCTCTTCAGAGGTAAACACTTGACCTCTTGTAGCTCTTCTGTACCATCTTCTTTACAAAGAAATTACTGAATGACATGTCTTGGAAGGGAAGCATCAGGCTGGGTGTTAGGAAAAGGTTCTGCACCAGAGGGTGGTGAGCATTGGAACAGGCTTCTCAAGGCAGCGGGCACAGCCCTGAGTTGCTGGAGCTCAAAAAGCATTTAGACAGTGCTCTCAGACGCAGGGCTTGGGTTAGGGTGGTGCTGTCTGGAGCCAGGAGTTGGACTCAGTGATCCTTGGGTGTCCCTTCTAACTCCGGATTATCTATCATTCTGTGATTATCACGTGATGTTTTGCTTGCTTTTACTTTTATGAGATGTGATCAAGTTACCACAAAAGGGTAATTTGCCATTCCTAGCCAGTTCCAATCTGGTTTCTATGCCTAATCTACCAGCTGAGCAGGGATATGCAGATACAGGGGCAGCTGCATAATCCATGTCTCCATGTGACCAGAGTCACCAGGCAGCCCTGGAGCTCAGCTGCATGCCACGCTCAGACCTGTCTGACCACGACCCAGGAGGACTGATGGGGAACCACTCTCCTCTCCAACCTCAAATAGTTTTGGACCGCTCCTGTTTCATCATTTTTCAGACATCTTGCAACATGAAAGTTTTGTTATGAAGCTTACAGGGCTGGGCATTTTGGTCTGCTCTTTTATGGTGCCGCTTATTTTATTACTATACATACAGACCTAATGCTTTCTGGATAGACATATCTTCTGTTTTCAGTCTTCATAACTTCTTGTTGGAGGAGGAGTAATAGTTTCTCTTAGTTCTCTGTAGGCACTGGGGTTGATTCTGGTCTCAAGGCAGTGTAAACTGGGAGAAATGGAGTTGACATCAGGAGAATTATCCACGATCACACTAGAACTTGCAAAATGACTTTTTTCATATGATTAAAGCATTAATGCAGAATGTTTTAAAAATGTTCAAATGCAGCCCTTGGGCTTGGCTCAAAGGTGGATTTTTTGGAAAGTTTGAGCAAAAACATTTCATCCATGTGTGAGTGTGAGGAGAGTGGAAAACTATTTTTCCCTTCTGTAAAGCCTTTTTTCTTTTGAACAGTTCTGCAGCAGAGTGGTTGAGGCCTGTATGTTAAAATTTGGCATTGAAATAGCTGTAGCTGCAAAATGTCTTGGTTTTGGCTTTTATTTGACTGAGTTAAGAGCCTTAGAAAATATCATGTACTCAGCATGCATTTCAGGATTTCGTTTCCTTCCGCAAAGGTTGTGAAGGATGCAGTCAAGAAGATTTGCAGTGAACAAGCACCTGAGCATGGCACAAAACCAGAGAAAGAGACAGCTTTGAAGCAGCAGGGATGCGTGGAGTTAGGAGAGGAGCAGAAAGCCTTGTACAGCATTTACCTAAAGAATGGTCTTGGTGAGTTTGGTGATACGTGTGACTGAGACTCAAGCTCCTAGGAGCCCCTGCTCCTAGGGGTTGTTCCATAGATCTGGAGGTTCCTGCAGGCCAGGTAGGGGGCAGGTTTGAGATCAGACTCAGGTCCTGCAGCACTGCTTACACTCCTCTGGAATCAGAAGGTTCAGGGGAGGTGAAATAAAATATGCCTGTGCTTCTCTATATGATGTTGCAAGGGGTACATTTTGACAGTGACGTGCCCATAGTTTTGCAAGCAGCATTGCTTTGAAGTCTTAACAAACAGAAGTTTATGCACTTGCTGTTCTTGAACGAAATAGATATGCCACTCAGATCTAAGATTGTACAAAAGCACGCCATACCCTATTGGGCAGCATAGTTTGTGAAATCGTGCATGCTTATCTAATTGCAATCACATGTGAAATGAGAGGCCAAGGGAAGGCTGCATGTGCTTCCTCAGCTACACAGTTTTTTGACTTAGCGTTGTTAATTATGCAGCCTTATGAATCATTAATTTAGTTTTGTGTATGGGAGCTCTGCTGAATTTCCTCTGGCATTTTACAATGAAACTGGTTAGTATTTCCAATTGCTTGAAGGCCTCCATTTAGCTTAGTGTCAATGAAGACAGAGAACAATGAACTTGTATCTGCTTCTTTATTGAGCTGCTACTGCGTTGTTGCTTACATCTTTTAACACTGGCCAGGAGTAAGGATTGCAAAGGTTGCAGGCAGTGGAAGATCAGGCATTCAGTATATAATCTGACATTTCTTTGATTAGTGGTTTGAAACTCAAATTTAATTTTTGATCCCAATGATTTTTCTTCTCAGCTGTCACGTAGTGACAGTGCATGTCATTTGTTTAAAGAATGCAAATATCCAAATGAATTTATTTTCAGCTAAGGAAGGCAGAGGACCTGACTCGCCTTTGTTACCTTTGCATCAGCATGTGGTGTGTGCAAAGCTCTGCCTATGTACTGATGGAAATGACTGCATTAGGTGTATGGCTGAGAGCTGCTCTGAGAGGTCAAGGACCTCTAGCATAGGTGAGATTGTAGCACACTGGATGTTGAGCTAATCCAAAGGACTCCCTGGCAAGCTGTGTAATTAACTGGACAGCAGGAACAGAGGTGTACTAGATGTAAAGAAGCATTCGCAGGTGATTTTCATAAGGTAGGTGTAGTAAACAGCAGCCAAACTACAGTTCAGAGACCACAATCATTAAAGCAATATGAAACTTGTGTTTGCATTTCTACAGTCTGCATGGTGTGGCCTTTTAGCTCACCTGCACGTGAATTTTCTTAGCTTTTAAAATATCTTCAACCTCAAGAACTGCAGCACCTGTTACTTATCAAAAGAGGGCATGTGGCTATAAACATAAAACAAGAACTAAATGCGGTTTTAAAGAAGCCAGACCAATAATAATTAATGAGATAGTCTTAATAGACACAGTATTTGGTTCCTTCTGCAGACATGCACGTCTAATGCGCCAGCCATTGCTGGGGTGTCTCCTTGAACGTGCTTTATTCTGCATCATTTACTACAGAATGAACACAAAGATTGTCTTGTGAAATCCCTTCCTCCAATTTACAGTTGCACATCATTCGGGCAGTGTCTTCAGGTGGTAACCTTAAGGTGTGCAGGTCTCTGGTACCTGCCTCCTTTTCCCTTAGCTATGTGATTCCTTTCTCACGCAGACGCTGCTGTAATACTTACATCACCTGGTTACTTTGCCCTTTTCCTGCACTCTTCTGAACGTTTTCTTTTCTTGATGTCTCTGACTTCTGTTTCCTCTGCACCTTCTGTTAGGCCCCTAGCAGAAGCAGTAAGACTAACCGTTCTTATTTCCCAGATGGTCTGTAGGTCTTTTGCTTGGTCTTCTTATGAAAGTGCCTGCATGCCAGCTGTAGAAGCAGCAGTAAACAAGTAAAAATCATCACTCTCTGACTGGCTTATTTCTCTGTGGACAATGGACAAGTTCTGGCTGGGCTGTCAGTGATCAATGCTCTGCAGTTTGAGAATTTTCCAGGCCCTCACATTTCACTGTGAGAAGCGTGAGGTTGCACTCCCAATCTGTATTTCTTTCCTGCTGTAAGGGGGAGGGAGGACACACTCAGATGTACGAGAGGAACGATTCTGATTCTGCAGGAAGGGCAGATGCAGGGCTGATTATGGCAGCGATGTCATTATTGCATGTGAACGTGATTTGCCAATGAAAC